ACACACACACACACACACACACACACAAAGTTCAGGTCTACTCTCGCCAAGGAACCAAAAACTTTCTGCATAGATGTTTCACATTAAAAGTCTTTACATGAAACTGTTCCGCTCCTTCCCGTCAAATTGGAAGCTTACAGTTTTTCAAAATAAAGTCCAGCAGTTAGCTGGCTGTCGTTTAAAGAACAGAGCACAGATGTTTCAAATCAAATACTGAGGGAAATCACATCAGAGGAAAGAGTTGCTTCTCAGACCTTTCACGACCAAAAGAGTCACACAACGGTGAAATGTTGGCTTTAATTAAGTGTTTCATTAATGTAGAAAACGTCTGAAAGAAATCCAGCTGACGTCAGAGTTCAAGAGAAGCTGGTGAAAAAAAAGGGCGACTGACCTTGAACGATGATGTGAACGGAGCCGCTGGTGTTCAGCGCCGGCAGCGAGGGAACGGTCACCTCACACATGTACTTTCCCGTTGTTTCATAGGTGGCGTCCTGCAGGTGCAATGTGTTGCCCTTACCCACCTGTTTGCCATCCTACACACAAACACACACACAAACACACACACTCAATAAGCACTACCATGTACAAGCAGTGATTTGAAGCAATCAAGTGGATGAAGTTAGAAACACATATTCATGGTCCCCAGAGGATGAATTCTAATTTATTATTGAGTCAAGATTGAAATTTTTGGCAACCAATTTATATTTATGTCCCAAAAAGAAATAAAATTCTCAGCTGTGCTCTGGGTTAAATGCTCGTTATCAAACTAAACTAAGATTCTAAACAAGGCAACTCATTAAATCGTCATCGTGTTCCTGTTGACACGCTAACGTCGGCATCTGAATGAATCATTAGCGTCTAAATAAAGACACATATTGAGTGTGAAGTCTACAATCATGTGACCCGCTGCCAGAGCGGCTCCACCCACCAGACTCGTGCACAGTATTGTGTGTAAACAGGAAACCGAGCGCAGCTGTAGACTCTTTGTCTTGTTTCAATTATAGTTTGAAATTTCTGCAGCAGATGATCTGAGACTGATCTGCACAACAACGTCCCCTCGCTCATGTCAGTATTTGAATTGTTCACTTTATATATATATGTGTGTCAGAGTTTTGCTTCCCAGTGTTTGAAGTATTTTGTACTTTGCTCTACATTAAAAAAAAGGTGATGATGTGTTGCTATGAAACTATTTCTGTGCTTTCAGCCACTAAACACTTAGTAGTATCTTGAGCTGCTTCCTGCGAGCAGGATTTAAAAGCAAAGCTGAAGCTGTACGAACCTTGTACCAGACGGTGGAGGTTTTCAGGGAGGACAGAGCGTTGCAGCTGGCGGTCAGATCTTCTCCCTTTATCATGAACTCTGACTCTTTAGGTACAACAACAGCTGGATCCAAATCTGAAGGCAACACACGCAGAAAACAAGACACATGAATGAATTGAAAGGTGACAGGAACATAACTTTTACATCTGACTAAGTAACGTTTTAGTTGTCAATGTCTCTGAGTCAGTTTTAAATATGTTTGTGTTTTCCTCACAGTGCACGGTGAGCTGCATTTCCCCTTTGACCTCGCTGTCTTTGTCAGCGTCCACAGGCCAACACTGGTAGATGCCGCTGTCTGTCCTTGACACCTGAGACAGGGTCAACGTGTTGCCGCTGCCGTACAGTTCGTTATCCTGCAACAAACACTCAGTTTACACAGCGTGATCGTGCGATAGGGAGGAAAAGTAACGAACAAAGAGACGTACGGTCAAAGATAAACTGGGGAAATCAGATCCTGATTCAGTTTCATGTTGGAGTGAGAATCCTGCTCTGGATTCCAGTTTAAAAAGATTTTTTTTACAAATGATGAATGAATTCAATACTTTCAACTCTGCAAAGAAAAAGTTGTGACGACATCTGAAACTTACTGTCAGAATTTTTTCAAGTTTTTTTTCTTCTTGTCCCTAGTTTGAGTCTTAATGGAAACATTTCACAGCTCAGAGATCAGGACACACAACAATTTATACCAGAATCCATTAGGACATGAGCCACAAGTGGTCAGACTCCACGAAATCCTAAATATTTAATATCTAAACCTACTTACTTTAAAGTAAGCATGAAACACAGGATGTCTGTGATATCGTTCATTTCACTTTGGCTCTGTTCAAACATCCAGTACGTTTCAGACGTCTCACATATCAACCGTTCTTTTCACTGTCACCCTCTCGTCTCAGGTCGAATAAAAACTCACCACTCGTTCACACCCAGCAGCGAATTATCATGATGACTTGTTTATGTAATAAAGAGTTTTTCTAGTGTTTCTCTTTCTGTTAAACAAGTGAGACTCATGAGCTTCTTTTCATTTTCTCCGTACTCGACCATTTTCTTCCCCTGGTGCGACTGTACATGATTTCATTCATTAAAGAGTAACTGAAGTAAACACAAGTCTTCATGTTTCTGGTAAGTTTAGTTTTAATTCGTTTTTTTTAATGCTGTGAAAAAAAGAGTGAAACGTCACGAATGAACACTGAGACTGAAGCATCGTTAACCCTCGTATAAAACGTGTCTCTCCCTTCTCATCCGTGCAGCAGTTGTGTTTCCTGGTTTGTAATGAGCCTGACAGACGTAGACTTCTGACAGACATGTTCGTCCTGCAGAGTAATTCAGTCTCCAGATCTCCGCAGTAAATTCTGTGACCGAGTAAAATATTGTGTCACAACACAGAGCGAAAGCCAAAGGTATTAAAACAAGAACACGGTTGTGAAGCTGAAGTCGTGTTTTCACCTCCTCGTAGTCTGCGGAGTTACAACGGCAGTCAGCTGAGTTTTTGCATTGTCCGCACGTACAATGGATGTGTGTGTGACTTGGGAAAGAGTCGGACTCATGAGCCCCTGTCAGTGTGGCCTCCGGGTCTCAGAGCCCGGGCCTGGATCTGCAGGGTCAGGGCCGACAGAGCCTCCACAGACACGTACACTCATGTCTACACGGGGCCCTGTGAGCTCTGCATATCAAAAACATTCCCTGCATGTCTCCTGCGTGTCACCCATTCTCTCTTGGGGGACTTGTAGGGTGAGAAAAGGACCCTCCATTCTTACTTGTTCTCGGCTGAAATTGAAGAACGGCGGGGGGTTGCCATCGCCCTGGCAACGCAGCTCCACAGTATCCCCCTCTTTGACCAAGCCCTGGGGCAACTCCTTCCACAGCTCCACCATGGTGGTAGGGTCTAAACACACACACACACACAATCAAGTTAAGCAGGCTGCTGGAGTCACTTAACAAGGCCACTTCCACAGCGTTGACAGCCCAGACTGTGTTTGGCTCCGTTTGCCACAATGTCCCCACAAAACTGCTTCGAACAACAATGGACCCACAGAGGAGACGGAGGAGGAAGTAACGTGGCTGTTAAAATGCTTTTAGATGATCGGAATTAAAATTATATGTCATTAACCGACTATAACGAGGTTTAACCCATTTGGACCCGATGTGACATCTCTGTTTATATATAATTTGTACATAAAAGGTCAAAGACCTAGAGACGTGTGACTGATGAAATACTGTGAATGGCTGAATTACTCCGAATTTCAAGGGATGTGTTTTGAGGAAGAGGAAGAAAAAAGGTTTTTGTCGACGTTGGCATATTTTTAGGATTTTACAGACATTCGTGGTCAACAATAGACGTGACCTGATCGTGAACTCACAGTGAACCGTGACGTTGACGTTGTTTGACTCCACTGTCCTGATGGCTCCCGGGACAGAGAAGCTGACCTCACAGGAGAAATGGGCGTCTTTGTCCTCCTTCACCACCTTGTACTCCAGCGTGCTCTGCACCGAGTAGAGGCCTTTGGTCTCCCAGGTCAGGATCAACACGTTTACATCTGGAGTGTGGACAAGACAATAAATTCCCATGTGGACCACAGCCTGAAAAAGTGGCCCCCGCCCCGTCAGCTGTTCACACTTACGTCCTGGATCTGGCTTCAGCGGGACGTTGTTCCTGTACCAGGTGATGTTGGGTTTAGGAAAGCCGTTCTTCGCCTCACATGATGCGACCTGGACGGAAGGTCACATTCAGAAAACTTCAGCAGGACACGAGAAACAACATGTTATGTATTTAACACGGTAAGATATTGGTGAATCTCAGTGTCTAAGATTTAATGTCCCCACCTTAGACGGCACCTCCTTGGTCACAGATATTCCAGTGAGGACGCCCTCGATCACCGGAGCCTCTGGAGGAGCTGCGTTAAGAAAATGAGAGAGAAATCTAATGAGCTCATTCTTTTTGCCAATCTGAAAGCTTCATTTTGTTGTGGACTTTCTTACCAAACACTCTGAGGTGGGTCTTGCCCTCAGCGGTCCCGGCAGCCAGCCCGTTGACCTGGCAGAAGAACTCCCTCTCGTCGGCGAGCTGGACGTCCTGGATGGTGAGCACGGTTCCCTGAGGATCTGGAGTCACCAGGATGCGGCCGCTGTATTCCGTGTTGCTGTCCGTGATGTTAGCGTTGTTATCAAAGTAGAAGATCCGCGTCCGTGAGCTGCCGACACCTCTCTGCAGGAGAGGACGGACAAACTTACACTCAACTCAACATCTTCAACATACTGTGAAGTACTCTGAGGATGATATCGGGCAGAATTTATGATGAAACGTGTCCAGATTTTTATTATCAAAGATTCTGAGAACATCTTGATATTTTCTTTTAATTCTTTTTTCCAATCAATTCTTTTAAAATATGTAACAGTCAATATAATTATTGGAATTTTGGTCTTTTGGGCTTTAATTCCCACTCACACATTTTTTTAATACATTATTCCTGCTTCAGATCAGCCCCCTGATAGATTCATTAATTTATAATCGTGCACAGGATCATTATCTTTTAATGAACTTGGAAAATAAATCTATCAGGATCTTCTGCATGAGCATCCACGGTGTGATTTCTGAATTTTTTTAATTTTCTAAAATCAGGAGATGAGTGAAAATAATTGCTACGAAATGCACAGAGGAGAGTCTGTTAGTGTTAGTTTTATGTTTAATGTGTAAGAGTCTCGCTGTTTTAATTCTTGTGGCCTGATCATCATCTCTTCCTAAAATCTGGAGCCTCAATGAGAACCTGAGCTCGGCTTGATGATTTGAATTGTCGGTCATGAGAGTGCAGCCCAGCCGAGTACATGAGCAGTCGCATAACTTAACGAGGTGTCAGTTTTTTGCAACGGGTCCAGACGTGCTCACCACAAACCACTGGATCATGACGAAGCTGGGCTCAGTGTCGGTGTCAGTGAAGCTGTACTGGCAGGGGATCTGAGCCGAGTCACCCAGGTACACCTCAACACTCTCATGCGTGGTCAGCTTCACCTTGGCCCAAGCTGGAAAACACACACACACAGAAATATTATTCAAGGTCGATTCAAAGCCACAAAAACTGCATTTAACTCAATATTTCTTTTTTTTATCAAACTCCAGTTTTGACCCTCAATCGCTGCTAAGTCTAAAATGCATTGCGTTTGGCAGACGTTGGTCTACCCAGGCCAATCTACAGCCAGTCAGCCATGTTAGCAGAACACAGAAGAAAAGGCTTCTTGTCCACATGGCATCATTTTCACCCATTCTGCCCGGCCACAAAACCACATCTTGGCCAGAAAATCGGTTCCCCCGGGGACGATGGGGGGAATGCAGCCATGGGAAGCATTGCCAGTTTGACGGTGGGCTGTTGATTCAGAGAGCCAAGAGCTTTCTTATACATGTTGGGCTTGGCTGCCGTTATAAAGGGGGCCGGCTCGTACAGCGACAAAAGAAAACAAGATGGCACGAAAAAGTCAGATTTCTTGGTTTTATCTGGTTTGGAGTTTGTAATGCAGGACGGTGAAGGACGGTCCGCCTCGTCTCCTCCTGCTCTGTCAGGTGTGATGTTCAGTGGGTTTAGTGCTAACTAATTTATTGCTGAGCTGCCACGCCTATACTTTCTCTTTTTCACATTTGTCTGCAGAACAGAAAGTACAGAGCAGCGATTGTGTGACTCCTGCCACTGAGTTTTCTGCAAACCACCAACGTCAGTGTTATTAGTCTCAGGACTTTCGCCACCTGAGTTTGTTGTGGCTCCACAGGAAGCTGCGATAACTTACTTAATTTTTCTTGCAAGTGAATAAACCTTGGTTGGGATAAATAATTTAATTAAAAATTAGGGGTGAAAGAAGAGAGTTTGTCCCAATAGAACGTTTTGAACAGTTTCTTTCCAAACTTACTTAAACGTACAATAACTTAAGCCACAAGACGTTGTGAAGCACCAGGGATCATGGGAGTTTAACTTTGTTAAAACATTTTGGATCATGTAAATACACAAGTCAACAACATATATAACATAGGTCTCGTCATTTTCAGAACCTAATGAAGAGTTTTTATGTATTATACCTTAAACGCTGGAGTGTTCATATGATCTCCTTCACTGTATTTACTGTGATGAATATAAACCAAATTATTGAATAGTCAAATACTAAAGGGGCGGGGGGTAAAAAAAAATCGGGACCTTCCATTTTCTCTTTTTTGGCAATTTAATGCTTTCCAAAAAATACAAGGGGAAACAATTAGCAGGGCCTCAGTGTCCTCGGACGTGTTTTGAGCGTTGGTCGAAACAGACCAAGCATGAAAAGAGCTTTAAGAGTCCAGTTGCCACCCTGCTGCCCCCATTCAGCCGGCTGCTCCCCCATCACCCACCCCCAATCATTTTCACAACTCATTTTTTTTTTCTGCAGGTCCCTCCCTCCTCCTATGTTCAGCCAACCATTTCTTTTAAGACAACCGGCGCGCCATTGTTCCCCCACCTGGGCAGACCAGACCCTCCCCCCCCCCCCCCCCCCCC